CCCAACGTAAGTGATAAAAAAAGGGGGGGGGACATAAGCGTTAGACTATGCAAAAGTTGAAACTCACTGGTGTTACTGGGTGACACCAAGAGAGAGGCACGGAAAGTCTGTGCGACCCTTTGTCCTGTGTCTGAGCTGGCAGGCAGGCACCGCTCCTTAGGCCCTTCCCAGACGCTCCGAGCAACGAGCAAGGAAGGAGCAGAGGGGAATAACCGGGGCTGATTCTCTATTTCCTTCGCTGCACCTCACAAGGGGGAGAAACACCTGCACAAGCCGGAATCCCAGTGCTTGGTCACGGGGCATGCTGGGAACTCTTCAACATCGCTAAAAGCTTGAGAATACCTGTGCTTGTCACCGGCTCAGTAGTTGCACAGTAATTCCCAAACTGTCTTTGTCCCCACTTCTAGAGAGCCTGGTTAACTTCTAACACTCAGAAAGGCTCAGAGAACAGTTAAACGCAGTTCAATAACTCCTTCAACAGATATTATGGGCCTACTATGTGCTCACAGCAATGACCCCCAATTTCCTCATCTGTTTTCTAAACTGATCCTACTCAAGAGGCCTGGATTATTAAAAAATGTAATTAGAAAAGTGTTTGGAAGATCTTACATTTAGTTTAAGAAATATAATGCAGCACTAAATTGAACTAATTCTTTCATTCAATTCGTCGGAAATCTTTGTTGTTAAACATTTTTGTGAAGGATATCTAAGGGAGACGGTAAAGTCCTTTTTTAAAAATCATTACACTCATGTACAGTAAAGGGCACTCCACTTTTAAGGAGAGCTTTGTTGAAATGCATGCTTGGAGTAATATGTTGTACCTAAATCTCTTAATAGAATGTATTTCCATTTTCCAAGTTAACTGTAATAGTAATCGACATGGCCCCCAAATGTAAAGGATCCGTTGACCTGGACACCTACCTCACCCGCTCGGTGAAGATTAATGAGGAACTGTTTTACGCTTTCAAGGATGAGTCGCGCTAGCCACAAAAATATGTACAGGTCAGTTGAGCGCTAACCAAAAATTGTGGTTCACGGTGACCACTGATTTAGTCCTGGGAGGGTGGAGAGGATGCCACTGAGCGCCGGGTTAGAGACCTCATTTCCGCGGCCAACTTTGGGTTAATGATTGAGTTGTAGAATACTGGCGAGGCAGGTAACTGTAGACTTGCTAGTCTTTCTGATGTCTGCCTGGTCGTTTATTACCTTCTCTTGTGGACAATGCGATTCGCGAGTGTATCTCTGCTTGCTTCTTAGTCTGCGAGATAAATACCTGCAGGCGCCTTCACATTGCGTGTGTAACTTCTAGGATCCGCGACCCCGCTGCACCGAAGGCCGGGCGGTCCGACTCCGGAGGAGCGCGGCTGGGAGGCGCGAGCAGATCGCGGGGAGGTGGAGAGGGCCTGGCCCGCGTGCCTTGGCCAATCAGTATGCACACCGTCTGACAATCGGCCAATCAGAAGGCGCGGCACAGGCGGATAATACTAGAAAGGGGAGCTGAGACTTGAGACAGCAGCGAGTGGCGCGGCGCAGAACCGATCTGCGCGCGATTGCCCCGGGAGCCTGCGACCTGAGCCAGTCGGAGGCGGCCCGACCTTTCCTGCCCAGCTTGGGTCAGAGGAAGCGCAAAGCAGCCTCAAGGGGGTGAAGCGCCGGAAGCTGCAAAGGGACCGGTCAGAACTTTGCAGAGCTCGGGATGTGCGGGGCGAGGTCGCTGAGGACGTGACTCACGAGGACTTGACTCACCACTTTCCCCCTTTATCTCCCCACAAGCCATCGTTCAGTGGGTTCCAGGCCTTTAGCTATCAGTCCCGATTTCGTCGAGGGTGGGAGCGAGCCAGATTTCTGTTTGCATACACAGCGAGCACAGGAGACAGGTCCCAAAGCAGGATATCTTTGACTCGGCTGCTAGCCTGGGCCTCAAACTCTTGGTGAGTGCTGTGGTGCTGCTGGGGGGTAAGGGAGGGCAAAGGGCATGAATCACCTCTCCTTATCTTTTCTGCTTTACTGGGGTGCTTTGCTTTGAAGATGTAAATCAAGCTCAATGTACTCAGAGCCCTTGCTGCTTATGCCGGAGCAGCCCAAGTACTGCTGCTGCTGGACCGACTGCAGCTATGTGCTCATTTGTGCTCAGTGTCCCTAGGGGCTCTAAAGACCGCATAACCTGGGTGTTCAGTTATTTGGGGGCCAGAGGAATGAGCGGACCTCTTCAAGCTCAAAGAGGGGTGCTTGTAGTGGTGATGGCCACGAGAGGCATTTGGAGAGCAGGGAGTGGTACTCCACTGTGTCTGAAGGGACCCTTGTGATAGCACAGACGATAACTTAATCGGATATTCATTCATCATGGCCATCCTAGCTGGGTACGGAAAAGCCTGACAAGTGGTCCAGGCCGGCCGAGTTGGACACAGTACTCTAGTGATTTGTGATTTGTCAAGGGACTTGCTGGGAAAGTCCTTGTAAAGTTCGAGAGGGCCGCGGTTAAAGGTCAGGTGCTCACAGAGCACTCCGAATTAATAAAATAAAGCTCTTGTTGGGTTGTGGATCCCTGGGGCCCTAAAGACACAAGTAAGGCACGTGTGGCCTCAGGTGAGGGACGCACAGAGAACGAGGGTAACGCAAGGAGCCAAGGCGGGCAGACCAGAAGCTCTGGACCCGCGGCCAGGGTGCACTCTGACCGCGGCGGTGGGTCTTGGGTCTCTTTGTGTCTCCCCAGGGTGCGGGCCTCTGAGCGCAGGCGGGAGCGAGGCACCGCGCGCCATGGCTGACGGGCAGGCAGGCCTCGCGGCGGGGGACAGGGAGATCGACGTGGAGAGCCTGGAGCTGGAAGAGGACGGCTGCGCGGGCGGGGAGCGGCCGGGAGGGCTACCGCCTAGGCCGCAGCCCGCGCCGCAGGCCTTGCCCGCCCCGGCCGGGCCCCCGGAGCTCCGCGCGAACGCCGGCGGCGGGGGCGCGGCGCCGCCGCGTGCGCGCCCCGC